CTGGCTGGGTGGGTGCTCCCCCTGCTCCCTGCTCCCTGCCCCGTGCCCCGTGCACATCCTCGTCAACTACCTTTTGTTGCCCCTCATTTTCAACAAAATTTTTTATTTTGGCTATCTGCTTGCCGTGCCACAGAGGGAATGATGATTTTTGCCAACAGATCAAAGGCATATGTAACAAGTATCGGATATCTGTCTGTCTGCCCAGAGATTTAACTCGATAATTCGATTCCATTTGCATTGTTTTTTCTCTTTGTTGGTTTGGATTGCATATGGTAGCTCAAACAGATGTATGTATATTCCTGCAGTTATCGTGTTACATAGATCTACCTATTAATTATTTATCAAATAAGGGTTTTCTTCTTCTCATTTGTAAGCAAATATATCGCAGGACATACATATGCAGGTAGGTGTATCCCTTTTGTAATTTCATCGCACGAAAATGTGCAGCGAATAATTTGTGTTATTTGTGGCGCATGAGTCTGTTCGCTTATGGGTAATTTATGCAGCCGGTAAATCCAAAAAAAAATGCTGAGGAATAAAATGCAATTCAGTTATAAAAATAATATACTCAAGTATTGATAATCGAGCCTAATCCAGCATTAAGCAGCAGCAACAGACATTCGCATTGGCATTCACATGATAAATAATACATAATACACAATACGTATACGCAACGGTGGTCGCATGCAAATCCATTCGGTATTGACTTTACAGTGCTCGCAGTAAGTTCCTCCTCCATTTGGTTTCATCTTGACCTACATGGAGGCTGCAAAGGGTATCTTAAAAGTCGGCACACACAAATCATTGAAATTGAATCTTCTTGCTACCTATTTTCATTAACTTTTTGCGTTTGGTGCTTGTTTTGGACATGTTGAGGTGCCGCAACGACCCTGCCCCAGCCGCTGCCTCTACCCACGCTCAAACTTAATTGAACGATTAGTTTTTGTACGTGAACGTGGGTGGGTTGTACATGCCCCCCGTACAGCAGCAGCAGCAGGGCAACAGCCCCGGAAGTCCTCCTGTTGTCCCTCGATGCGGCGGCTCCTTGTCTTCTCTGCTGTCCTGCTGCTGCTGCCTGCTGCCTGCTGCTCCTGTGTCTCTGGCCACTATTTAATTTTATCTGCTCTGCTTTAGGTTTTATTTTCGTTTTTATCGCATACAGCAACAAAAACTATGTACAAACATTTGCCACGCCCACCCAAAAAAATGTATCAAAAGAGGGACAGGGAGAGAGAGAGAGGGAGACAGGAAGAAAAAAGTCAAATGCCAAAGCACTAAAAAGTCAAAAGGCCACAGAAGAAGCAGGAGGCAACAACAAGTAATAGTAATGACAGCCAAGACTAAAGAGCGGCGGAGAAGCAGGAAAAGGCGACAGAGAGAGGAAGAGCGAGAGAGGGAAGGGGAAAGGGAAAGGGAGTGGGAGAGGGAGGTAGAGACAGGGCGATAGATGGGCGCAAAAGTTAAAATAAATAAAACAAAGCAGAGCAAACGCATGAAACGACACAACAGAGGCACAAACACAGAGAGAGAATTAGTGGAGGGAGAAAGCAGAATGGCGAAAGGAGCGAAGTAGTGGCTGGCAAGGGGCTGGGGAGGGGGGTGGCTGCGAGAAGTACAAGACACTGCCACGCCTATGCCACCAACCGAGTGGCATGGACTACGAAACGTGGCCAAAACGACACAAGAAGCCCGCCTAAAAGTGACAGCAAATGTGGCAAGATGTGGCCCCCACCAGCCGCACCCACAAGAAAGGAATCTAGTGGGTGAGCGGTGGAGAGGGGGGTGGCTAGTAGGAAACTGGAGCGTTAAATAGTAGCTGCACGGGGGAGTGGGAGCTGTGAGCTGGGAGGGGTGTGGAGCAAGAGGCAGAGAGCAATATCAGATAATTTAAAGCAACACCGTCGATGGCTGGCCTTGTCGTTGTCGCTGTCGTTGTCGCTGGCGACATTCCTCCAGCTCCTGAATCCTGACTCCCGATTCCTGACTCCTGTTTCTCCACGAACAAACGGAGCCACATCGCACCCACCCACCCACAGCACCCACAGCACCCAAAGCACTGCTTTAGTGGCCCGTGCCCGCCAAAAAGCCGAATGGCAACTGTTGATAATGATGATGGAGATGCCGTCGACACGCTCTCGCCTCGGGGCACAGTGTGGCGCTGAGGCACTGAAACAGGAAGCGCAGGCAAGCAGACAGGCAGACAGGCAGGCAGCCAAGCCGTTAAAGCCTCAACAAAGAGCCCAACAAAGGCGCTTGGACCAAATAGCCACATTGATGCATAGATCCAGCTAACAATTTAAGAAACTCAAGAACTTTGACTGGAGTTATTTGGGATCATGGCAAAAGCCAACCGTTAAACATTCCTCAAAGCTTTAAGGGCACACATCATTGGCGATCCGGCGATCTGGCCCGACTCTGGGCAGGATTTGCGTTCCCGCATAATCCAGCGGCACGCGTCACAGGGTCACAACAGAGGCGACCCCCACAAAGCGGTGAAGCAGTGGAGAAGCAGCGTAGAAACTGTGGAGAAGCAGTGGGGAAGCAGTGGAGAAGCAGTGTAGAAGCAGCAGCGGAGAAGGCTGTCTTGTCTCTCTCTCCGGTTGGCTCATTCCTTTGCCACTCACAAACACACACGCGGTAATTAATTTTATTTAATTTTCGACGACAATTCAAGCGACAAGAGGCACGAGGCAGGCACGTCTTCGTGTTGGCGTGGTGGCGTGGTGGCGCGGCAGGGGGTTCCGCTCTCACACAGGAAAAAACAAGTTAACAAAACGTCAACAATAAAAGGAAAGCCGGCAAAATGGCCAACGTGGGTCAAGGCAGACAATGCCAAAAAGCAGCTTCCCTCTGCTTTCTGCTCTCCTCCCTCGCTCTCCATCTCTTTTACTTATTTTACCAAAAGATGAGGCCAAGACCCAGACCAGACCCTGTCCATGTCCATGTCCTTGTCCGTGGCAGTGTTTCGTGCAGGGGGCACATAATTATCAACCACATCAGCCACAGACGACAAGACTTTGATAATCATCAGCAGAGCAGCGGGGGGGCGGCAGTGGAGGAGGGCAGGGAGAAAGGCAGTGGAGAACAACAACGAAATTGGCGAAACGAAACGAAGTAGGAAAACAAGTTTAACTTAATTGTCAACATTGTGCCAGGCGGAACGGGTGGGGAGGGACACTTTCTTTCGTTTGCCGCAGCAGATGCCGGCTAGATGCACTACCCAACAGCCACATGTCTAGTACATATATTGCCAGAATGCGAGAATAAAGAGTACTAAAGCAATCACAATGGTAGGGCATGACTGAGTATGATAGGGTGGTGCTGTGAAAACTGGTGCCTTTTCGCACTTATTGGTAACCGAAAAGCTGGGCAAACATCTAAGCCGAATCGTCATACCCTTTGGCAGGGTGCAAACTACAATGGAGGAAGGGCAAACCGAAAGAATAAGGAAGAGCGGAAGAGCAAAGCAACGGCAGCAGCAGCGGTAGCGGCAGCAGAGCCAAAGCTCAGAGAGCTGGGAACAAGCAAAAGCTGAATACCAAAACGGAAGAGCATAAAGTAACGGCACTAATGATGGAGCACGCAATTTTCGACGGGGGGGGGGAGGAATGATTAGGAGATGAAAGAGGAGAGAGCAAGTCGACAGGCAACTGTCAACGAAGGGCGAAATTTATAAGCGCACAACAAATTTCAGTTTGTTTTTTTTTTTTGTTTTTTTTTGTTCAGGAGCTAAACCTAAAACCGTGAATTAAAAACTGAAGACTAATGTGAAAGCAGCTGCCAACTTAACCCCCTTGCGACCGCACCCAAATAAATCCAATTTCAATCCAAGGCGCAGACAGAGAGACAGACAGGCCACACACAAATGGGGCACACACATGCTGCAAGTGGGCAGCCCAGCAATGCGAAGACAGTCAGCGTACCCAGTAGCACCCAGAGATAACTCTTTGTATCAAACTGATGTGCCAAACATAATACCCGCTTTGCACTCCACAAGTCCCCAGCTCTCGGTGGGGAGAAGAACAGCCAAATCGCATCGTGCGCGTCACTAATGAGACTCTAAACAAAGCCCCCCCAGCCAGTGTCCTGGCTCCGCTCCGTCCCCCCACCATCCTGGGAGCCATCGCATGCCAGCACGCTTCTCGTAACCCTTAACACTCTCTCCAAACAAGGAGACAAAGCGAAACCCCAAACAGCCAGCGCGACACAGCAATAAAATGTAAAAGCGTGATTATTTGCAAGCAAACCAGCAGCAACAACAAAAAACCTAACAAGACAAAAAAGTTGGTTAGAGCCACCAAAGAGGGTTTGGCGCTGGATTATGGTTGGCTTTTATAGGGTAGGGGAGGGGGGGTCTAATTATGATTGGCCATGGCCAAAAGCTAATTGCAACTAATTTTGGTCGCAAAGCAAACAAAAAACGAAGTAATAACCGCAGAATAATGAAAAATTCATATTTCAAATTTGAATTCAACGCAGGCGCCCTCTATCGATATCAAGCAGTGGCGAAACCAGTGGCGCAACGGAGCCTGGAACTGGAACTGGAACCAGCAGCGCAAAGTGTGTACACACTGTCGTACAATCTTTTATCGAAATAGGTAAATAAACTAATTTCCATTAGTTTAATTGGATAAGGAATTGTAGTGCTGTCGATACTGAACCGAGAACATGTTGATTTTGGAGCGCAAGTGTATGTATGGTTAGTGGTCATGGCAAAAGCAAATTTTGCTGACCTTCTTTGCTTAAAGCTTATTTTATAAGTAATCCAATAAATAGGAGTCCTTTAAATAAGGCAGATTGTAGAAAATTGATTCATCTATCTGATGAAATGATATTTTCAGTTCTGGAAGTCCTAACTAGCTAGTAATATTAAACTGAATATCAAAATCGAGGAATATTTCCTTGTCGCTCAGTATATTTACGGTATATTTGCAAAAGTGAGAAGGTATATTTCGGTATCTTGCTGAGGGTCAGCGGGTATATTTTAGATAGATCCGCGGTCACACTGCTGCTAGGAATAAAAAAAAAAATAATAAAAAAAACAACATGGGCGATGTGGACAAATGGATAGAGATTGTTAAGGAGTGCAAGTACCTGCCTGAAAATGAATTGCGAAAGCTCTGTGATATGGTCTGCGACATCCTCCTGGAGGAGACGAACATACTGCCAGTGAGCACGCCCGTCACCGTCTGTGGCGACATACACGGCCAGGTGAGTGCCGCCGCAGCGTGCTTTGTTCCAAAACTGATTGTGCCTCCCGCTCAACACCATAAATTGTATCCTCTTGTTGTAGTTCTACGACTTGGAGCAGCTGTTCCGGGAGGGCGGCCAGGTGCCGGACACAAACTACATATTCATGGGTGATTTCGTGGATCGGGGCTACTACAGCCTGGAGACATTCACCCGCCTGCTGACGCTAAAGGCGCGCCACCCCAGCCGGATCACACTGTTGCGCGGCAACCACGAGACGCGGCAAATCACCAAGGTGTATGGATTCTTTGACGAGTGCTTTGGCAAGTACGGCAACACGAATGGCTGGAAGTACTGCTGCAAGGTCTTTGATCTGCTCACCATAGCGGCGGTGAGAAGTGCCCCAAAATCCCCCTCCAAATCCCCCCATTGGAATAGTCCAACATTTGTGCTGTTTTGCTTTCCGCTTGCAGATCATTGACGAGGAGGTATTGTGCGTGCATGGCGGCCTGAGTCCCGAGATTATAACACTGGATCAAATACGAACCATCGAGAGAAACGGTGAGATACCGTACAAGGGAGCCTTCTGTGATCTGGTCTGGTCCGACCCGGAGGACATGGAGTACTGGGGACAGAGTCCGCGCGGCGCCGGCTGGCTCTTTGGCCACAATGTGACCAAAGACTTTATGGCCATCAATAATCTCGATCTGATCTGTCGTGCCCATCAGCTGGTCAACGAGGGCATCAAGTACATGTTCGATGGCAAGCTGGTGACCGTCTGGTCGGCGCCCAACTATTGCTACCGCTGCGGCAATGTGGCGGCCATTCTCAGCTTCGAAACGGCTCAGCAGCGTTCAACGAAGATCTTCCTGGCCGTGCCCGACGATGAGCGTGTCATACCCAAGCAGAATACGACGCCCTATTTCCTCTAAACTCCATCCCGCACAGCTGTGGTATTTGCTTCAACTCAGGATTGCGTCTGTGGCTCCCCCTCCCCAAAAGGTGCAGGTGAAGGAGGAGGTGGAGGTGGAGCCAGTCTAACTAGAAAAACCAATAACCCCTGCCACCCCGAAAACGCCATTCGCCAGCCGCCGCCTTTACACCTGTAGTTTGCTCTTCCCTTTTTTTCTTTTTTTATACTATATATGGCAACAAACATATCTAAATTTAAGAAGAGTAACGGAACACGGCGTCCGTTTCATCGGTTGGGAGAAGCATGGGGTGGGAGCAAACGCCTTTATCTATATAGAGATACATATATTATACATAGATATTCATTCAAATGTGGATTCCAATCTTATTTATTTCTGTGAGCAAACCAAATTGCAATTACAAATTTTTGTACATTTTTGTAACGATATTTACGCAACAACAACAACAAAAACAACCTTTGTTTCCCCCCCTACAAACAACAACAAGAACTTTTTATGTGAGAAACAAAGTTTCCGCCGAAAAAAACAAAACGAACACCGTGCGATTGAAACAAAAAATAAAATTGAAAAAACAATAAATAAACAAAATTTCTTTGGCGTTTCCTGAATAAATCAGGAAGTGTTCAGTAGTTAGAGAGAGATGCAGCTACTAGCAGGCAAGAGAGAGAGATGGAAGTAGTTTGTGCAGGATTCCACTGCCACATGGCATAAGGATCGATTCTGTTTCCATGGGGGGATTGCTTTAGCTTTTAAACTATTATTATTATGGAATAGATATTTCTCATTTACATTTCTCTCTCTCTCTTGCAAACTCCCTAGCAGTACATTTTCTGCTTTTCTTAGCTAACAAATCCAGAAAGGGTTTGAGTCCCCAAATGCGGCATCTCCTCCTATAGAATGTAGGGCACACCTACCACCGATGTACTATCTATCTATCTGTACTAGTTTAAATTTCTCCATGTCCATGCCGAATCGGAATTATTAGAAGGGCAGGATAACAAAAACTAAATAGGATAGGGCACAAATATAGATCCCATACCTTCATAAACATATGTATGTGTGTGTGAGTGTATGTTTTCAGTTTATTCCGTATAATAGGATGAACAACAGTTGCTTATATTAAGTTTTTCTCTTTTTGTTCGTTTTCGTTGACGAGCATCAACGGCAACCCCAAAACCCAACAGATACAGATATACAGTGATATTCCCAAAAAAACAGGACAACGTATACACCCCAGCACTAAATATGTATATCCTTACTGCTTTCATTCATTAAATGAAAAATCATCCAGCTAAGAAAAATCTTTAAAAAAAAATGGGAATAAATTAAATTTAAATTTATGTGAAACTAATTTCACTATATACCGTATATACCATTTACGTTTACATAAGATCCCTACCCTCCAACTCGTTTCGGTTCGTTTTATTATTTTAATACAAAATAAATTGAACAAAAAAATAATAATAATCACTAGAGTTTTTTTGTAGTTCGTTTTGTCTAATAATATAATATAATATAATAAGAGTTTTCTTTTTATCGTTTAATTTTCATTGTTTTTTGGGGGATTGTATAATTCATTTTATGGCTTCCAGGCCATGGTCACAGTGTGTATGTGTGTGTGTAAGTGTGTGTCAACAACAAACAACAACAAAGTATAATATATATAATAATAGGGATCAATGCCATATAATATAATATGCATTGTGTATAAGAGTTAGGAATTAAAATGATTCTTTGCAACAACAACAACAATTCAGAGCCGATCCGATCCGTTCCGTTCCGATAAAGCATAAAAGAGCTCTCTTAATCAGCATGCATTCTGTTTATATAAAAAAATTTTTTTAAATACCGAAATATTTGAGAATTTCGAAGCAATGAAAAAAAATATAATAAAAAGCAATCTGTTGGCTAATTGATGTTGTTGTAGTCGTGTATGTGTGTGTGTTTTCTAGACATTTTCTACCCCCCATCATTTCTGTTTGTGTAAAGCTTCTGATCCTCTTCTTTCCACCCTCTCTCTCCCTCTCTCTCTTCACATATCAAATGGGGATCCTTGATCCTTTTGTTCTACTGCGTTGCTATGTAATTGTGCTCGAAAATATCCAGCTCGTTCTGTATGTAGTTGGCCTTGTTACGCAGTAGTTTGAGCTGCTTCTGGTTTGACTCGAGCAAATTCAGCTGCACCTCAAGCGTCTTGAGCTCCTCATTCATGTCGGTGGTGGCTGTGTCCACAGTACGGCAGAGCCGTGCAAAGGTGCTGGACAATTCCCTGAAGGATAAATGGATAAGTGAATTCGTTTAGTCGTTTTTTTTTTTACCGATTTTCTTTGGTAAAATACTCACTGCTGCACCTGGTGACTGCAATTGGCCGATGTTAGATCGACAATCATTTTGAGCTTCTTGGTGGCATGCCGCACATACTGGCTTTTAAAGGTGCGCTCCTTTGCGGAATTTGTCCACGAGAGGCGCTCGTACAAGTAGATGCAGCCATAGAGAGCACCCACACCGACCAGGACACGCCAACCGATTGTTTTCAGCATCTGGAAGTGGGATAAGCGATGGAATGGTATCGGCTTGAAATGATCGTACACCACCTGCATTTTGAAGTGGGGCAGGGAGAGTGATGGTGCGACAGGTCGCTAGCTGCACAAACAGCCCAAGAAACACACAAACAGAGCACAGCAAAACATAATACTTACGATTCCGGCCACCAATAGGCCGCCCATGGTGCCCTGCCCACCGACAGATGTGATGGCAAATCGCGAGATCAGCGACAACTGCTCGGGCGTAATGCCCGCCACCAATCCAGGCGTTGGCAACAGGCAAACCGGTGTGGTATCATCCACCGGCGAGCTAACGGGCGTCACAACGCCATGCTGTTGCTGCTTGAAAGGAGAGACAGAGACGGGATTAGCTATCATCGGGATCGTTATGTTTGATTTGCCCATTTAGAGTGACTCACCCCAATACTGGTCTGACGGTTGGCCAACGCCGGCTGATTCTTTTTGCTACGCTCCCGCACCTTGCCGGTGAACCGCTGCATCATGGCCGTAATGCCCCAACTGAACTTAAACTCCAGATCCTCCTGGAAATCGGCGCACAGGTTCTGACAGTTCAGCGAGTAGAGCATCTCGAAGGGCTGATTGCGTAGGGCCAACTTGGTGCTGCTGACAATCAGTTGCTCGTTGGGCACCAGGGCGTGCATGCGATCGGTCATGTCCGCTTGGGCGGACTCCACATTCATGGCCAGGGCAATGGAGAGGCGGGCACGCAGATTGCTGCCAAGGCCGCTCTCCACATGGGCATTCAGCTCCTTCTTGTAGATGTTGAGAACGAGCCGCTCGGGATGGAAGGGCATATTGAACTCATCGATGAGAACGCCCAGGCGCCAGATCTCCTCGTTGAGGGCCTTTGAGACCTTCTCCTCAACCTCCTCGACCATGGTGTGGATCTTACACTTCATGTCACGCGTCACCTGCATCATCTGGGTCTCGGTGCCCTGGATGCGGTCCGTCAGCAGGTTCTTCTGGTCCTGCTTCAGATTGCGAAAGATCGTGATACGCTCGTAAATGTTGTCCAGCATCGAGCGCATATCCCCCGACACGCTCTTGCCGCGTGAGCTGTGCTGCTGGAACTTTGTCTTGACCGCACTCTGCGAGATGCATTCCTCGAACTTGCGCTCAAAGTCCTGGAACTCAAAGTAGCGTATCTGAAAGCCCTCCGCAATGGCACCCATATGCGGTGGATTGCCCTTGGACTCCTCGATGCGCGCCTGCAGCGTTTCGCGGGCCGAAACGAAGAAAACCCGCTCGGCAGCCTCCTTTTCGTTGCTCACTTTCAGCTCCTTGGTGAGGAAATCGATGCAGCGTTCTGTGTGCTGTGATTTAACCTGTCGAATGGCATGGCAATTGGGAACGTACATTATGCATAGGTTGGGGTAAATTTTCTGTTTCGTCTGGGCAGGCAACTCAGAAAAAAGGGGGGAAAAACGACTCTTCAGGGCACGACAAAGCAGAGGCAAAACAGGCGGTAGGTAGTTTGGGTTTTTGGGGTTCTAGCTGTGTGTGTTTCATTACCTTGGCCAGATCCTGCCGGTGATGAAAGTTGGGCAGTTGTTTGATTGTTTGATTGGTTGGGTTGTAAAAACAAAAAAAGTAGAAGACACATCAACATACACGACAGAAAGAACAAGCAAAGATACAAGAGAGATTTGAGATTCGAGCCCAAAAGGAAGAATGGATATGTTTCGGTGGTATGTGGTGGTGGGGGGCAATGCCTTACCGACTCCTGACACTCGGGCTCATTGGCCGAGGCATCCCAGCGATTGTTCAGTATAAAGATATTCGGCTTGGAGAGCTTCTGGGAGACGGTGTGAAAGAACTGCTTCTCGGCGCGCGTCATCGTGGACTCGGCATTGAGGACCAGCACAAACACATCCGCATTGAGGCAATGATTGTCAATCCAATCGTCCAGATTCGCAGACACATCCACGCCGGGCGAGTCCACAAACACCACATCGTCACGCAGCAGACTGCAGCGTTCGCGGGGCCAGAATATGCGCACCAGACTGCTCTCGCAGAGCTTCTCCTGGCACAGGGCATTGGCCAATTGTTTGATGTTCTGCAAAATTCCAAACAAGGATTAACTAAGGATCAAGCGCACAGCGCATAGGTCTCTCTTTCTGTCTTTCTCTCTCTCTCTCTACGCACCACCACATTGAGCTTCTCCGCAGAACCCTCCGTCATGAGATATGCCTCGCCACCATCGTTGCCCTCCACCTGACAGAAACAGTTTGTGGTATGGCCAATGCCGCTGGGCAGAATCTTTTCGCGCAGCATGGCATTGATCACCGAACTCTTGCCGTTGGAGGTGCGCCCAAAGAAGGCCACCTTCATGTGATCGCGCTGCAGCACCTCTCGTATGGCTGCCACCTTGTACACATAGCTCTCGAACAGCTCCCGCTCGGCCTTGTCCACGATCTCGGCTTCGGCATGCAAAGCTGTTTGTTTACAGAGGAGGCAGAGATACAAACGAATAGTTGGGAGAATATGGAGAGAGTGCTTACCATTTATGAAGGTCGTTGTCTCATGCACATATTCCTCAATCTCTCCGTAGATGTCGTTGATCTTCTTTTTGGCCCGCACAAAGATCTGCAGTGGAGATTTATCATTCGATTGATACAGCCGCGTATCGGAGACCATTGCACCAGAGTTCATCGATGTATTTGAGCCAGATGATTGGATTGTGGAATTGTGACGCGAGAAACCGGCAACAGATTTGTCAACGGTGTCCGTGGACGAGGAGGAGTGATGGTCGTCGGTGTCGGAGTTGCCGTTGGGCCCCGTTTGGCCAGTGACCAGCGAGATGGTGCGATTCAAGTAGGCCGCCATTTCGGTTTTAGATTCGATTGCGATTGCGTTTGGAGAGGAAGAGAAGATTTTGATACAAAACAAAAGGTATGCAGCCTATGCAGGATACTCGTAAGTTGTGTTTGTGTTATGCCTGGGCCTCCTCCAACCAACCACCACGGGCCGCTGTCACCGGC